TCCTTCCGGATGTAATCATTCAGACCCACCATGTACTTCATGAAGATGGAGTACTCGTCCGTTGCGATGTTTAGAACCATCGCCTGCTGCTAGAACTCCGTCGTGTACTCTTGAACGGTCTGATTAAACTTTTGGCGCAAGCCATACCACTTGTACCAACGTTCCTCAAGGAACCCCACCGGATAGAACTGTTTCCGAAGTAGCTCCTTGAACTTATTCCACGACGTCGCTTTCTTCTCCTGTTTGCAATAGGATTTCCACCACGTCAACGCGTGCCCTGAAAGCTTTAATGTCGCGAACACTATCTTCTCCTTGGACGAATATCTGTAGAGAGTGAAGTACATCTCCATACGTTCGATCCAATCATCAAGCTTCTCTACATTGATACTCCCATCATAAACAGGAATCTCAACCTTGAAGTCAATCTTCAGATTCTGGTAATTATTCTTACCCCCTTGATATCCAACAGTCTTGACAATCTCAGTCTCCCCCTCTGAATCAGATTTCTTGCTCTCTTCGTCGGATTCGACGAGTTTCTTCTTACCCTTCGAAGAAGATTCATCCTTTTTGTCTCCTCCGTTAATGAGACCCACGAGTTGAGTAAGAGTCGTCCCGATCGTCTCAATCTGATTCTCCATGGCATTAAGTCTTGCTAAATTATCTGCTTTAGTCATCTTCTCCTTCCTTAATTTTTGGACTCCCTCCAAGGAAATAAGGATCTCGCCAAGCTTCTTGTACTGTGAGCGAGTAAGGACCATACACAGGTTCCCCCTTCACAGGATCTAGGTGCTCTGATACCAACTTGATACGAGTCGTCGTACGAGCACTCTTGATTACGGAATTATCAAGAGTGGGTAGAGAAGAAAACGACAGAAGAACACAAGAGTTATAATTAGGGCGAAGGAAAATACCTTCTCTAGATTATGAGAATCAATTGGATTTACAAAATCTCTTCGTTTGTTGGAAAATTTGTAGTAAAAAGAATGAAAGAAATTTGATTTGTATTCTCTCGAAATCGATTATAATTTAGATTTCCTGATTACAAAAGAGAGGAGAATGATCTGGATTCCCCCCTTTGTTTAAAACTGGGTTCTTCACGGTGGCGATGGAGTGTCTCCTTCGAATGCTCGCGTCGAATTTGCTCTCCGTTAATGATCCGCACGTCTTGTTTCACTGGAACGTGGTCTTCTCCTCACGATTTGATGTTGTGGAAAACTTGCGTGAAAAGTTTGAAAACAACTCTTAACGAGTTAATAACTCAGAGCGAGTTTTAGAAGAACTTGCAGAGCAAGTTTTGAACTCTGATCGAGTTGATAACTCCGAACGAGTTTGAAACTCTATGAAAGAGTTGATTTAACCGAAATCGGTTTAAAGCCAAGGATGAAGAAGCTCCTGTTGCTGATCTCCAAAATCCCAGCCGAAGGATGAAAGATCTTCTTTGCTGCCAAGCTTCAGATCCAAAAAAGTCAGCCTCCCCGATCAACCCAGCCAGCCCTTAACTCGGTTGAGTTTATCCCTATTTATAGGAGATTAAGGGGTGTAACCGCCCCCTTAATTCGCTCCTAAGTAGGGCTGAATGGGGGTGTAACCGCCCCCTTAAACAGCTCTCCAAATCGTAGGGAAAACGGTTTTAAAACCGTTCAATTCGTGCTTTGAACGAGTCAAACGCTGAAAAATAGCGTTCAGGGCCCGAACTCTGTGTTTTTAGACTAAAAACGCAGAGTTTGGCCTATTTTGGTGGCTAAACGCACAGGTCGTGCTGCATTGTAAATCTGAAATGCAGAGTTAGGATGCAGAGATAAATTCTGCGTTTTGGCATCTAGGACGCAGAGATGAACTCTGTGTTTTGGCATCTGAGACGCAGAGATGAACTCTGCGTTTTGGACCTGGGACGTAGAGTTGGGCTCTGCATGAACTCTGTGTTTTGAGTCCACGAACTCTGTGCTTCGAGTTTGGAACGTAGCCACGACCTCTGCGTTTTGAATCTCAAATGCGGTCACGACCTCTGCGTTTTGAGTTTAGAACGCGGGCATGACCTCTGCGTTTTGAGTTCAGAACGCGGGCATGACCTCTGCATTTTGAATCTTGGATGCAGAGGTGAGCCTCAGGCGTGCTTGGCGAACTTTAGACGAAGTCCAATGTTCAGACGAAGTCCAGTCTTGCAGACGGACTTCAGAACATAACTTGCTGCGAAGAACATGTCATAACTTTCAAACCGTAAGTCGGAATTGGACGAATTATATATGAAAATCGGCTATCTCGACGAGACGGAGCCGACCAAACCTACCCCATAGGGTTCGGTTTGCTCTATCAGTTTTGCCAAATTCCTTACAGTTTGAGAGATATTTACGTTTTGATTTGAAGAGACCGTCGATTTGTAGTCTCTTTTGTTAGAGCGTTACAAAAATCATCATCTTATAATCTTCGTCTTGGCTCCCTGAAAATGTGAGAGTCGTCAGATTGTAACTCCCGATGTTGATTGTGAAGGCTGTTGATTAGAGCTTTCATCAGTTGTTACGAAGGTCGTCAGATTGTAACCTTCATCGATCCACGTGAAAGTCTTCAAATTGTAACCTTCTGGAAGTTGTCAGATTGTAACTTCTATCATCGGTGTTTGATGGGGATAAGCTATTTGTAGTAATTTTTAGACAACCTATAGCTATCTGCAGTGATTTTTAGACAGCCTACACTCTCTCACAATCTCTCTAGATCAAAGAACAACCTCCCTGATCTCTTTTCTGATTACAATCTGAGTGCTAAACCCTAGAAAAGTCGTGTTTCTATTTATACTAAATAGAAATCCTAAACGGTGCAGGAAACAGGCCCAGGCCCATAACCGCTACGCGGTCGACCGCTATGACCAAGTCGGTCGACCGGCCAGAACATCGATTTCTGGAAAAATCGATTACAGGGTTTCCGGTCGACCGCAACGCCTATATCGGTCGACCGCTCTCAGTCCAGAGACACAGTCTGGGTCTGTGCACTACGCGGTCGACCGCTGTGACCAAGTCGGTCGACCGGCCAGAGCCCAGCTGTAATTCCTGCAGTTTGACGAATCCGTCGACTTCGCCGCCTCCAATGACCTCGTCCACGACTCCTCTACTCTATTCTCAAGATACCATGAGAATCATCTATCCTCAAGTTTCCATGAGGATCGCTAAGCTCCCGAAGAGAAGATACACCCGTATCATGAACCCTCCTCCATCTTGCAAGTATACAATTTGGATTTTAAATAGATTCGGTTCGTTAGACTCTTCATCATGAAGGTGCTCTCTAACTTTAACCACATGTCTGCAGCCGTTTCCTCCCCGTCCATCAAGAAAGCTACATTCCTTTCAAGGCAAAGGATAATCGACGTCTGTGCTTCCAGATCCAGCTCCTCCCAATCCTCATCAGACATGTCCTTGTGCTTCTTCTCTTTTCCCGCTAAAGCTTTGTACAATTTCTACGAAATCAACGAGTTTTTCATCTGCATCCTCCAATAGGAAAAATCATTTTTCCCATTGAATTTTTTAATCTCGTACTTTCCAACTTTAATTGTTTTACTTGTAGACACCATTCTCTGCTTGTCCGCTTTTCTCAGGAATTTCAACAAATACCTTGTGTTTTACCACACAATAATCAACCACCACCTCAGATTAGTAGCTCAACCACCGCCAATCTGAATAAGGGCTCTGATACCAATCAACCACCACCTCAGATTAGTAGCTCAACCACCGCCAATCTGAATAAGGGCTCTGATACCAATTGTTGGGTGCAGAGACACGCCCTCACGCCGCGGAAGCGATATCACCTGAGAGAGAGCCCTGGCTTTTGTTGTCACAAAAGCACAAGTCAACCTTTATATTCTTGTTTCTCAAAGGAAACGAGAATAGATAGTGAAATTCTTATTTCTCAAAGGAAACAAGAATCGAAAGTGATATATTTCACTTTCTCTCATCAGTTCTAAGACTGAAATATTAAGGGAACCTACAAGCAATGACAACTCACAGTTAAGACAATACAAACACGAGATTTACGTGGTTAGGCAAACTTGCATACGTCCACGGGAGGGGTTTTTCACTATGAGAAGAATACCAAACTATTACAAGCTCTCTCTTCCTCACTTCCTTTCTTTTCCTCTCAAGTTTTACACTCACTCAAGAATTTCCCACACCCAAACCTCTTCTCTCTTCCTCTCTATTTATAGGCAAGAGAGACACCGGGCAGCTCCAGAAAATCCGACGCGGAAATCTCGCGCTCGTGCTCACGAAGCACCTCGCGCATGATCCCGACGTGGGCGGAATTGCTCACACGAGTGCCCAGGAACTCGACGTGGGAAGGGAAAGGATGGGCAGCATGCACGTGGGTGGGTCCCCACCCCCTTCCCCACGCGTAGGTTAGCACTTTTTTAGATATCAATGCCAATAAGCACTATCACTTACGCATGTTAAATTTGGTTAGCGGTGAAAAAAATAGGTCTAAGTTTACTTTTGACTAACTTTTAATACCAAAAAGTTGCAAGATAAACTTTTAATATCAAAGCCGTTAAAGGAGGGTTACACAAAATACCAACTTAATAATTTAACCAATCTAATTTGCTATTAAGCTATTTAGGATTTTTAGATAGATTGAGAATGCAATTTTTAAAATTTATGAAAAAATGGATTGCAAATGTTTTAAGGACTAATATGCAATTCATGAATTTTCAGAGACTCAACTGCACCCTGAGTACCATTTTTAGGTCCACCGCTGAATATGGATATATTAATTAGAACATTTTGAATATGTGCCATGTCAGCACCACATCAAAATTACAGGAGATAAGAGTGATAGATTATCCCTTTTGCTTCGTTCTTACATCATTTTCTTGCTAAAATTTATTGTCATAATCATGGTTCATGTTTAATTCGCGGATTAAGTGTTTTTTGCTAACTAGTATCTCTCCGAATTATTCACCTAACGAAAATGTCGGTAGCGCAGAGCACCCCCCCGTTCCCCAAACGGAAGCCATCAGGCGCGATGCACGTGATCCAGCGACGAGCACTGCGCCAGTCAAGTCGCGAAGGATGAGGGTAATGGCATAATGTCATTTCCGTAATTTGTTTATAAACCGAGGGCCCTTTCCTTCCTTTCTTCTTAAATACTCAAGTTCATTAACTACTCCTCCACTCCCGAACTCTGAGAGAGAAGATGGAAGCTCATAAGCTGCTTCTAAGGATTCGAGCTCCATTAATGGCGATTGCCTCGTTGAGTGTGCTCGCTTAAGTCTAGGTGGGTCTCGAGATTTGAACTCTTTCAGTGAAGATTTCATGGTAAATTTCCTCACTTTCTCAAGTTTTAGGTTTAGTTTTAGTTAATTTGGGTTTAAAGCGCTAAAAATTTGGCTTTTGAGGAAATGTTTAGTTTTTAGTGGAAGAAAGTCTTTGAATTTTGATGGGTATTAAGATTTTTTTTGTGTTTTGGGTAAAGTTCGGAGCTTTAAGTGTTTCAATTGAATTTTAGTGGAATGCAGCTACTGGGTAGTCTGTAGATTGGATTCAGGTGTTGATTTTTGATGTTGTTCGTTCCAAGAATTTGAGCACTTTTTTTTTTGGATTTTCCTTTCCAGGCAAGGAAGTGGTTTTAGTACAATACTTGGTTGAATTTTATGGATTTTAGCTTAATTTTAACTTTCGACCTTGAGTGCAAAGACAAAGATTTGTTTGTGTTTGTTTATAATCTTGTGAATTGGTGTTGAGTTCCAACATTGAGTGGGAGATTGGAGGTATGGTAGTAGTGTTTTTCATGCTCCTACTTGGGTTTTTAAGGAGTTCTAAGATAAATAATTTATTTTATTAGATGATTTGGGTCTGTATTGATATGGATTTTATATCCATTTGAAGGTTTAATTTTAGAAAATTCTACTTGATTTTGCTTCATGTGTTTGGCATAACTCCATTTATGGGCTGTCAGATTTAGCTACAATGAAACCTATTTAGCTTTAGTTATGCCTTTTTTTGGGCAATCTAAGTGATATGTATAACCTTTTGTCTAATATAAATCTAATATGTTGTTCAATCACTATTGTGAATCTTTTGTGAAGCCTCGTCACCTCTATTTTCATTCTTTCTTGGGTGACAAAAAGACATGATTCCATCTTTGCTTTTGCTTTTGAAAGTAGGGTCTTTTTTGTTTTTTTAGATGACTGTAAATTTATATGAAGTTCCACCTCAGTATAAAAAATGTAAGATAATGCTGAAATGTGGGTAAATTCTGAGGCCTTTTCTCTTTACGGAAAGCTATGATGGGCTCTAGCTTTATTTCCTTTTCAGAGACTTTTAGGCTTTAATCAATGATTATCTTTCAATGAGTTTCTGTCTTAATCAACATAAGCTTGATTATTTACCCACCTTTAACTTCTTAATTTTGTGGCCACCCTCTATAAGTGGCCCACATGTCCTTTATGCATTGAAACTATAATGAATATGTTGGCAAAATTGATGGCTTCTTTCGGTTTGCTTTCATCTTTAGCATTTACAAGCTCTGAGTTGACTGCTGTTCTTGTAGGCCTTTTGAATGTGCAAACTTTACGATACTACAAGAGAATGATAATGATCAAGGGTTAGTATAGTGAAATATGCTTGATTCTGTTTATTAAATTGAAATTTATCAGGTATTTTTTAGTCCCCTTACTCTTGTCCTTTTGATGAATGCAGAAAGATTTGAAGAGCTGCTGACAACAAACACTTGGAAAATTTAGAACCTCAGAAAACTTAACCATGGATCTCTTCAAACTCAACTGCATTGCTCATGCATCACCTTCAATGCTTCTTCTCTTTTTATTGTGCTTACCATCTCTAGCAACTTCAGATTTGAGCTCTGAGAAGCAAGCTCTCCTTTCCTTTGCTAATTCAATTCACCACGGCTTGAAACTTAATTGGAGCCCAAATGCTCCAATTTGTTCTTTGTGGATCGGGATCACTTGTACTAGAGATCAAACCCATGTCTTTGCCCTTAGGCTACCGGGTATCGGGCTTTCTGGCCAAATTCCCGCAAATACCCTTGGCAAACTCGACCACCTTCAAGTCTTAAGCCTTCGATCCAACCATCTCAATGGAGATCTGCCTATCGATATCTTGTCACTTCCATCTCTTCAAAATCTTTACCTTCAGCACAATTACTTGTCTGGGAAAATACCAAATTCACTCTCTTCAGGGCTTGTCTCCCTTGATCTCTCCTTTAACTCCTTTTCAGGAGAAATTCCACTGGCAGTTCGAAATCTCTCTCAACTTGCTGTTCTTAATCTTCAGAACAATTCTCTCTCTGGACCAATCCCTGACCTCAAACTCCGAACATTAAATCATTTAAATCTTAGTTACAATAATCTTAATGGTTCTATACCCTCTTCCCTCCAAAACTTCACAAATGATTCATTTGTGGGCAACATTCAATTATGTGGCCCTCCATTATCTCAATGCTCTTCAATTCTTCCTTCCCCTTCACCATCATTATCTCCCTTATCAAATCACCCTACGTTTCCTCAGACTAAAGGAAAGAGTACTACAAAGAAGCTAACTACAGGGGTCATAATTGTTATTGTTGCTGGAGGATTGGCCTTGTTCTTGCTAATCACAATCATACTTATCGTATGTGTTGTGAAGAAGAAGGATGGAGAAGGGAACATAGCATCAAGGGCGAAAAGTTTGACTAGTGGAAAGAATGAGAAGCCTAAAGAGGAATTTAGTAGTGGAGTTCAAATGGCTGAGAAGAATAAATTGGTATTTTTCGATGGATGTTCATATACTTTTGATCTCGAGGATTTGTTGAGAGCTTCAGCTGAGGTCCTAGGAAAAGGGAGTTTTGGGACGGCGTACAAGGCTGTTCTTGAGGATGGAAGTATGGTTGTTGTGAAGAGATTGAAGGAGGTGATAGTGGGAAAGAAAGAGTTTGAACAGCAGATGGAAATTATTGGAAGAGTTGGTCGGCATCAGAATATTGCGCCTGTTCGTGCATATTACTACTCGAAGGATGAGAAGCTTATGGTGTATGATTATGCTCCTGCTGGCAGTTTCTCTAGCCTCTTGCATGGTATTATCTCTCAATCCTCGCATTTCCTCAGCTTTTTTCATATATTGGTGCTTTATAGTCTAAAATTTTATGCGTACCCAAAGAAACATTAGTGAGACATGAAACATATTGCAATTCTGAAATTTTCAGGTACAATATAGTATTCTAAGAAGAAGAATAAATTCGTAGGAATTATGAAGCAATTGTTAATGTTAAGCTAGTCTAGCTTATTGAGCAATGTTGTAATTATTTTTTGATATTCTAATCTTCTAGTGAAGCAGGACTTTTGGGTTCCAGTTTCTGCAGATTGCGTTTGTAGTATAAACCAAAGTGCATTGCGCATTAGGTTTATCTCATTTCAACTGTTGTATAATACATAGGGTTGAGGACAGGCTCAAATACATCAATCACAACCCATGTTATGCATTGTTTAAGAGTATCCAATGTTTAAGAGTCCTGAAGTATTGCCTGGATTCTGTACAAAGCTAAACCGGCTTACATTGTCGGTTAATCGGGGATTGACCCCTGTACTATCGCATGGCTGCGGTTCTCTTACTGCGGAAGACCCCTGAGTGAATTCTTTTGACTATGTCTATTTATCCAGAGACCTTTATTTTTTTGCTTTCTCTGAGCGTAAAAGAGTCAAAAATTTTCATTAGGTGGGCTCATTTGCAACAGTAGAACTAGAGGGGGTCTATATGCAATTGGAAGATGGTAAGGGGGTCTACCGCAATTAACCCTCCATTTTTGTGCTAAAATGTAAAAACTTGAATGTATACTTCATCTTATTATCTGTTTCACTTTCGACATGTTATAAATCTTTCGAGTGTAGCCAAACTGACATAACTGGATGTTGTATGTATTTTTCACCTTTCTTTTCAAGGGTAGATTTATGTCAAGATTAGTGTCAAACTCTTGTTCGTATGCACTTGTGCTTGCAATATGCTACTGCACTTCAACTTATCATATGCTGAAACTTCTTGTTCTTGTTACGATTGTAGCTGTTCTTGAAGAAAATGTTAAGAGTTACCTTGTCTTATTAGTATTCTTTGCAGTATCATTTCTATACAAATATTCAGTAGCATAGCATGATTCAGTTTCATCTTCTCAAATATTCATCCTTCCAACACTTCAATATCAACAGGAAACCGTGGCAGTGAAGCAAGAACCCCCTTAGATTGGGACACAAGGGTGAAAATCTTACTCGGCGCAGCAAAAGGCATATCTCATCTCCACAGAGAAACCAACGGCAAACTCATCCACGGCAACATGAAGTCCTCAAATATCCTCCTAACCCAAGACCAAAACCCCATAGTCTCCGACTATGGCCTAACCCCAGTCATGAACAACCCACCCTCTCCCTCGCGGGTCACTGTAGGCTATCGCTCTCCTGAGCTCATCCACACAGGGAAACAAACTTCAAAATCCGACGTCTACAGTTTCGGGGTTGTGTTGCTCGAGATGCTGACGGGGAAATCGCCCGTGCAGGCACCGGGATGCAATGATGTTGTGGATTTGCCGAGGTGGGTGAGCTCTGTTGTGAGAGAAGAGTGGACGGCAGAGGTTTTTGATGTGGAGCTGATGAGGTGTGAGAATGTTGAGGAGGAAATGGTGCAGATGTTGCAGCTTGGGTTGGCCTGCGTCGCGAGAGCGGTTGATCAGAGGCCAACAATGGAGGAGGTGGTTAAGATGATGGAGGAAATCAAGGGGTTGGATTCTGAGAGTCGGACGTCGATGGAGGTTAAAGCTTCAGAGGTTGAAAATTATTGAGATATGCAAATAAGTCTGTATTTGTTATCGTAACTTCCGTTAGCCTGTCTTGATGTTGTCATTGTAATTTTCAACCAATTTATCTTTGATTCAATGAAGTGATTGATATGTGGATATGGCATCATACCTGTTCTCAACGTTGTGAAATTTGGGCATTTCCTCTTATCTGTTACTGTCTACTTTATAATTCTGGATTTTCTCTGAAAACATTGAGGTTGATTTGAATTGCTACTTAATAGTTGTCTATTGAAATGTATTGCTAGTTATGGTTGTTTATTGAAATGTAACAGATTCATGCTCTAATAAACCCTATAGATGACAATATGAGGTTTTACATTGCCGAAGGCTCCCTTGGTAGTGTCACATACGATAGGGAATTAACTAGAATAATTTTTCAAAACAGACTCATTCGGATTTTTATTTTTCAAAATCGACCGTTTTTTCTTTTATTTATCAAAACCGACCGGATTTTGTGATTAGCAGGTTAATCACTATCCTAAATAGTCGGGGTTGCCAACCCCGACTATTTAGGAGGGTGTTAAACCCTAATTAAAGGCCTTAATTAGGGTTTAACACCCTCCTAAATAGTCGGGGTTAGCAACCCCGACTATTTAGGATAGTGATTAATCTGCTAATCACAAAATCCGGTCGATTTTGATAAATAAAAGAAAAAACGGTCGATTTTGAAAAATAAAAAACTAAATGGGTCGATTTTGAAAAATTGTTCAATTAACTAAATAGTAGATTTTACATAATCCCCCATGAACTTTGAGGTATTTGCACAAAAAACTTCATGAAGTTTACAAATTAGAGATTACTCTTTGAACTTTCAAAATTATGCTGAACTATCTCTATTGGGAACATTTATGAGACTAGTTGAAATAATTGGGAAAGAGAGGCTACTTCTTTCAAAAACTAAACGGAACAATAATTGTGTTGAGGGGAAATTAAGCTATGAATGATAGCATCAGATTTAAGTCTTAGATTTTTAGTGCAAGTTGCTTAACCATGTGATCTTCTCCTTTAATCCCTCCGTTACCATTATTTTCTCAGTCAAAATATTTACCAATTCTAAGGACTATAAGTCGATAAGTGTTCGATTTTATTTTAATTATTTAGGAACATGACTTTATTTTTTGGGGGGTTCCTTCATAACATTGCAGTCCAAACCTTATTTAATGAAATGACGTAAAAGATTTTTTTCACCCTCCTCTAGAGGTTGAATAAACTATCTGTGGTTCCTCGTTGATATTTCCTATTCGGAATAACAATATTTGTTTAGTTTTTTCGCAATATCTTTTATTGATCTTAGCCCAGACTTTTTTGTTTCTCACGTATCACTAGACGATGCAAAAGTTTTGTTGCCCACAAATAGGCCTATTCAAATGGGTCGGCCCGGTCTGGCCCATCTAGTCTTGATTTTCGGGTCCGGGTGGGATAAGCCTAGTTCGAACCTGGACCCGTGTCCGATCCGGCCGGGTTATTTCAGTTGATTTTTTTCGTAGAAATTTGCTAAAAAAAATAGATTATTCTTATTATATTTATATATGTATGTCCGTTCCGTTTATTTTGATCTATATGATTTGGATGTCATGTAAACCAAAAATTTGGCATATTGAATTGTTTTTACTAATGCATAGGGGGGCCAAACTGTTCGGATATATTCAAACCGATCCGCATCCGTATCCGAACGGATGCGGATATGGTAAGCTAATTTTAAAACCGGGCGGATACGGCTTCGGATACGGATCCGATTTCAAAAAAAAAAATTTCGGTTACTGATTCGGATACGGATATGAGGGTTGCGGATAAGGATATCCGAAATGTAATAATGATTCGGGTAATCGGGTCCCAAAGTTACAATTACAAACCCGTAACCGCTAACCCAAAACCCAACAACTAAATAGTAAAAACCCTAGCCGCTTTGTGAATCACATTCGGCCTACCAACTCGCAGCCTCCACTCAATTCAGCGTCGCCTCACTCGAACTCCGCGTCGCGGATTCCAGCACACCCGCATCGACCGCGTCGCGCGCGCGGCCTGCGTCCAGCCACGCGCGTCTCGCGCGTCCCGCCACCTGCGTCCATCCACCCTTGTCGTCTTCGTCCAGGCCGCCAGATAAACCCAAGCAGTTGTGTTATATTTGCTTGGTATTTCTAATTTGTTTTTTTTTCTATAGTTTAATGTCAAATTTTATTCATTTGTGTTTGAAGAAACGGAAAAATGGAGTAATGCTTTTAATTTCAGTGGGCTTAGTTAAGAATGGGATTCAGAGGGAGTTCTTAATTCTCAAAAAAGTCCTCAATTTGTTGATGTTTGCATGGAAAATCTCTAATTTTATATGTTTATTCTGTTTTTGTAGGTGGCTTGTGTGCAGAATGTGCTGGATTCATTGATCCCGGTGCTACTGGCGGATAAGAATCGAAAGTTTATCTATGTTGAGCATGTAGGTTTTGATATGAAATTAGGCTTTAGGATTTTAGATTTTGGTGTTTTTGGTTGTAGATTTGGGGTTTTTTTGCGGGATGTAGGCTTTCTTTCAGCGGTGGTGGAGGCAGCAGAGTGATGCTATGAAGAAGACGGTGATGGAGCTTGTGAACTCTGGTCAATTAGAATTCATGCAAAGGATTTCATCTTTAGTTTTTTACCCCTGAACTAGTTAAACTTATGTTACGAGTGACACAAATTTGTCTTATTAATTTGTTACATACATACATAAATTCTTTGCAACCCTTTTTGTGTAGAATTAGTACTGATTTTTAATATCTAATTAGATTTATTTTCTTTAGATTTGTTATAAGAATATAAGGTGGTCATTTCCTTGACAATTATAATTCCATTTATTTTACCCCAAACTTGAACGAGATATTATCATGACACTATAGAGGCTCATTTATGGAATTCTGTATAGGGTTGTAGGATGGGGTGAGACGTGGCATATTAGTGAGCTCACCTGTCTACCATTGATGGTAAATGGTAAACAGTAGTGACTGCACCAATAAACAGTAGCAATATGTTACATCAAGATTCATGATAAATCAGGTGTTGTCCTCTCCTTCATCCTTGTATGATATTCTGTAGAGGGCCCTCTATGGGATTTTTTTTCTTTCGAGATAGAAGAGTGGGTCTGCATGTTTCCCAAGTTGACTGAAATTGAGCTCCTTGCTCCCTTACTTTTTGAGTACCATTTCCCATAATCCAGGAGTACATGATACTTTTGATCAGTGGTTTTGACCAGTTTATCTCTGAAAAAAGTAGATTGTTGGTGTTCTTCTGTTTTTTGAATGAATACTGGGACTTATCATTCATATCATTCTTGTGATGAAGAAATGGGGGAATGTGTATGCATGATGAAGCAGCAGTGCATTACATTGACATGATCGATCAGACTACCCTTGGCCACCGATTTATCAGGCAAGAATTTGGTCAAACTCCTAGAATTGGTTGGCAGATTGATCCGTTTGGACATGCTGCAGTACAATCCTACTTGCTTGGGGCTGAGGTATTTCTTTTACCTTCTACACATCATTTCGTTAATCTTAATGCACAGTGATGGCTACAGATTAATGCTTACTTGATTGGTTGTATATTTCCGTGCTCAACCACTAACTTGCAGGTTTCTTTTCTTGACCATACTTTTCCTAATTTTCTGATTACCTGACATATTTATATTTCTATCCTAGTCTTAAAACAAAATACATCGCATTGAAACCTTCATTAGAATTTTCAATACAATGTATTTGCTCTTAAACTGGTGTGCCCCTTGAACCGTTTCCTTCTATTAGCTTCACATCAGGGATACCCATTAAAGTTCATTATTCAAGAATAGTTTATGAAGGATGAATGTTGTTATAGAAAGGATTCAATAGAGAAATACAGGGCTTCAGGTATCTGAGAATGAGTTATATACCTGTATTTCATATGGTTAATGAAAATTTTTCATTTACCTAAAAAAGGAAATACAGGGCTAGTAAGTGGGACATAAGCCTTTTTTTTGGGAGGGTTTAGTTAGTTATGTTTCATTATTTTTTTATAAGTATTCAAGTTATGATAAGCTATACATTTTCCACTTACATAATATATGCGTCTGTTAATAGATTTATACACAAATTCATGCATAACATATATACAAATATAGACACTTGTACATCTTTAATTGCAAAAGAGAAGCCAGCATTGAATATTTTGAAATTTGAACATATATGATTGGGAACAGTTTCAAAAGGGAAAGCATGTTATGCCTAATTTGAGGCTATAAATAAAAATCATGAATTTTCAAGTATTCTCTACTGTGAAATATAAATATTGAATATTGAAAAAGAAAAATTAAAGATAAAAAAACTGAGTGAACTTAATTATTGACAGCCTTTAATAGCAACATGAAGATACATTGATTTTTTACACTTTTTTTAAATTCTAACATTGGTCCCCCAAATCTGATCTATTTTTAAATAAGTCCCCAAATCTCATATATTTTAAATGATTCCCTCAAATCTATAAGTTCTCTTTGATAACTCCCTGTACATTAACACTATTAACTCCAAGTTAATTAAATTCCATTAGTCTATCATGTTGTGCTCTCTTCTTTCATGTTGTCCTCTCTTCTCTCTGCCTCTTCCTCTTTGCTTGCTATCTGTTGAGAAGTATCTATTTCACTTCATTGTAAGAATTAGTCATAACTATGTTGAGAAGATGAGGGAAAGACTAACAAGAATAATGTAGTTTAGTTAATTTAGAGTTAGGTTATCAATTTTAACCTAGAAGGACTTATTTAAGGAAACTTAAAGATTTGGGGTCTTACTTAAAACATATGAGAAATGGGGGACTTATGTAAGAATACTTATAGATTTGGGGGATTTATTTAAAATATATGAGATGTGGGGGACTTATTTAAAATATGTTAGATTTGGGGGGCCACTAAAAGAGAGACCTATTTTTTTGCTGAACCAAATATTTCCAACCAGATTTAGAAAAAAGATCCATTCTTTCTTTGGTTTATGAAGCCCAAGCCTTAGGTGGGACATGACAAAATGAGGCGTGAAGCATATGTTTTATTTGGGTCTCATATGTTAAAGGGCTTCTCTCATGATTTTGAGTGCTTAAAGGTGTCCTACCTTCTCTAGTCTCTAGCTGTTTGTTGTTTGTGCCACTTCAGACCATTGTTTTAAATATCCCCGACATGGCCCGATATATCCCCGATATATCCTTTTACAGGGCTTGCCGCAACCGATACGGTCTTTAAATATCCTTTACTGCTTTTTGGCTATTTTGAATGATAAATCCCTGATATGGCCGATATATTAGCCGATATGTGGACCAATATATCTTTTTATATCCAAAGAATGAATGGGTCCGCGTCAAACGGAACCGTTCGACGCTTGAGGAGCGTATCCGCAAGCGCCGCACGATGTCAGCACAGGTACGTGCTAAAGTCCAGGAAGCCCGTAGAAGACTGCAAAAGGAGGTGACGAAGAAGCCACCACCAACCCGCCAAGTCTGGAAGCCGAAGTCTGAAGTGGCGACTCAGGCCAAAAAGCAACCATCGCAGCCTTCTAAGCAAGGTCAAACTCCGGCGAATCAACCAAAGTCGCCGTTAATTCCTATGGCTACTCCGGGAGATCATGCAGAATCATCCCGAAGGAGGAAGCCAGTTTTGGAGCGCCTCGGTCCAGTTCCCGACGAGAGAGGCAAAGTTCCAGTTCACGAGCGTTTGGGCCCAATGAAGAAACCCAGAACGACTCAACACGTTGGGGGTCGCCGTCACCTCCAGTATGACAAAGAGCTTAAGACAACTGCGCGCACCAATTTGCGCATCGAAGTCCAAGAGCACACTGAAGACTCGCGCCCACAAAGGCACGTTTCGAGGCGTGTAATTTTTGAAAGCCCAAAGAGGGCGATCCAACATCAGATGGAAACATTATCATCTGATAGTGATAGTGTTATACCTGAGAAGTCGTGCCCGCACACGATGGGTTACTCCGACTGTCAAAATGACGAGTTGTACTATCGTGCTGGGGGTACGAATAGAACCAGGAAGAGGAGTCCCCGGGAACAGGAAATTCAATGTCCTTGTTCCAAACTCATTCGAGCGGTATTGTCTGAATGCAACTGCATCAAGGCGGTCACCGGAAGAGTTTCAGTTTTTGAAAGACTCAGAGCGGAGACGCCAAAACCCAGGCCTAGGCGTTTTCAACGAAGAAGAATGATGATTGAAGACGGAGAATTTCCGAGGATCACCACCAACATGACCAGCAAAGGGACATCGGCACAGGATGATCTCGAGTCAATTCTGAAAGCATCCCGGCCTAGAACCCGTCTGCAGTCCGGAACCATCGAGCGAGCAACCTATGGTAGGGTTCGGACAAGACGCCCTTCAGAAGATGAAGAATCTGATGCCGGTTCCGCGGTCGCATCAGATAATACGGTATCCAGCGAGGGACAACCCCGAGGGTCACCACCAACATGACCAGCAAAGGGACATCGGCACGGGATGATCTCGAGTCAATTCTGAAAGCATCCCGGCCTAGAACCCGTCTGCAGTCCGGAACCATCGAGCGAGCAACCTATGGTAGGGTTCGGACAAGACGCCCTTCAGAAGATGAAGAATCTGATGCCGGTTCCACGGTTGCATCGGATAATACGGTATCCAGCGAGGGACAACCCCGCTAGGCACTTATGATAAGTGCGGAACAAATTGCAAAGATGCTTGAAGACGTCCTAGCTAAGCAGCAGGAAACCTTCAGGTTCGAAATGCAGATGGCCATGCAAAACATGAGAGAAATGCATGACCAACAAATCCAAGCATTGACGAACCAGCAAGGCGAGCCAAGTCGTCGTAACCCGGTTAATCTGGAAGACGAGGATACGAATGAAGCTCGTAATACCAATAATCCTCCCGTCAATACAGGGGGTGGTAACGAGAATGCTAGCGAAAACACAGATGAAAGCTTGAAGATTAAAAATCTCGAGAGTAAAATCAACACGTTGATTTCCGCTCAAGAGATGAAGAAAACAGGCATTCCTTGCCCATACCCAAGAGAATGGGAATCGATCCCATATCCGGCGAAGTTTAATCTAATTAACTTCACGCCGTTTAATGGGATGGGTTCACCCACTCAGCATTTGATTTACTTCAAATCGCTTTGGGGGTGATCTCTGGTAATGAGCCTCTGATGGTGCGGTCATTCGTTGGCACTCTTCGCGGAGCTGCCTTCGATTGGTATCGTCGCCTCAAGCCAGGAAGCGTGAACAGCTGGGATGACATGGAGACCAAGTTCCTGGCCAACTTCTTCGACGACGACACCGAGGTATCTATCGGATCGTTGCTCGATGAGAAGCAGAAGGACGGGGAGTTAGTCGACACCTTCGTCAAAAGGTTCCGGAACAAGGCGATGAATTGCCGGGACCCGATCACCGATGAATTCATCCTCCAGACCTGCCACAATAACCTCGCATTGGACGTGCTGGAAGCAATGGGGACAACACCATCAAAGACGTGGAAGGATTTGAAAGTCCGAGGAGAGCAAGCCGAGCGGTTCCTCAAGAGGAAGAAGGCGGA